TTTTAAAAAATATATTTTAAAGCATGGAATCTTGATATTTATATGAATTTTATTTTTTAAAAAATTATACAGTAATTTAGACTAGCATTAATATATAAAGAATTCAATTCATAAAAACTTATAATTTTATATTTTGTTGTATTCAAATTGATTTATAAAAATAAAAAAGCAAGAATGATTTCCATAGGTATGTTGAGAGTATAAAAAATATGTGTGTCAGTGTATGTGTGTGTGCTGTACATAGTAATTTTAAAACAAGAGAGTGTTAAGAGAAGTAAAAAAGAGCTGATTAACTTTTGCATTGGCACAAAATACTAATACAATAAGAATCCTTAAAATTTAATAGATAAATTATAATTTTCTTCATGGTAGAAAATATTGGTAATACAAAAGTCATTGCAATATTTGTAAAGATAAATAAATAAAATAAATATACAATAAACCATATTTTGCATTATTTGCACTTATATGGTCAATTCTCAATGTTTACATTTAAGTCTTACAATATATTGGTTGAAGAATGAAAAATCTCTTCTGGCATCTACAAGACAAAAAATTCTTCCTTGTGTAAAATTTATTTTTCATAAAAGTCCAATAGTTTAAAGAATTTTAATACATAATTAAAATATAGGATTTTATAGATATATTTGCATCTAGAGATGATATAGTAATACTTAGAGATGTTTCAATAATCTCGTTAGAGAGCCTACTACTATCATTTGAATATTTAATTTTTTTTCTTTTGAAAACTAAATTTATGAAGTAGCTCATATGAAGTTTTGTAATAAAACAATTGTTATATGATGTTTTAAGTATATATATATATATATATATATATAATTGGAGAGACTAGCCATATAAAAGTTAAAAGGTTGATTTTCTTCAAGTGTAAAAATTTTAATAATTTGTCTTGCAATTGTTAATAGAAGAAAAATAAATTCTAAAAAGCTAAAGTTGATAATGTTTTATATTATTTTCTCGTCATGGTCTTATAAGATGTTTATCCTAACATGTTAAGTAAATAGATTACGAACTCAGACTACAACAAAAACATGTCAACCAATTAAGATACATTTAAAACTAATTATTTTATTTAAAAAAAGATTATAATCATAAGTGATAATATGATGCTATAAATCAACATGAAAATAAATAAAAATAAAAAACTCTAACAAAATATAAAATTTCTAAAAATATAGGTTATGATGATAAAATTTAAGTCTGTGTTATATGTTTCTATCATACAAAGAATTGTTTTTTGGTGAATAAGATTTTTTGAGGAAGATTAAGTGTGAAATTTGTTACACTTAGATGCTTCAAAAAAAATTTAAATGAAAAAAATTAAATACAAATCATATAGAGAACTAATAATATTTGCAATGTAAGAATGTAGTTGCAAGTAAAGTTGCAAAAGTTGCTACTTCAAGCAAAGACAGGTTTTGGAGGATATATGTTTATTTATATTAATGTTGGTTTGTCTCTATTTGTAACTATATCGTGTGTACAAGTCAAAATTTAAATCAAAAATAATCTATCAAAGATATTCTCTATTAATCTGTACAAACAAAAAAACTAAAAATAAAAATTAAAAAAGTTAAAAACAAAATACAGAAATTTAATAAAAAAATAAATTAAAAATAATCAGCTACAAATTAAATTTTTAATTTTCAGCTTAAAAGGTTAATTGAATTAATAAATAGAAGATATATAATAGAATAGAAACAAGTGGATATGGGAGTCTTTTAAAGAGAACATTTATTTTTCCTGTCCATGCTTTCCATTTTAGTTGTGCAGTACTACACAATTCTTAATTTGTTTTTCTCTTTCTTTACTTTTTCTTTTATTCCGTTCCTTAAGATCCAATTATTCTTAATTTTCTCCTTCCAACATTCTTAAGAAATGAAAAATTGTATTGAACTGTGCAATAAATAATTCATCAATATAAATTTATTTGTTTAAGATCATATTTACATTGATGTTTTCAAAACACCTTTGCATGAACTATCAATTGTTCAATCTAATATCCATTTTTTGAACCCACTTTTTTTAATTTGCAGTTTGATATATGTTTGTTTTTAAAAATAAAATAAGCAAAAACAAGAATATAAATTAATCAGAAAAAAATATTTTTTAAGAAATATCATTCTATAATACCATTCTTAGCATTGAATCTCCTTAAAAACTGACATCACACAATTAAAAAAAAGGGAAAAATATACATATGTATATGTATGTATATATATATATATATATATACAGAGAGAGAGAGATGAAAGCATTACAGTACTTTAAAGCAAAAGTTGAAACCAAAAGCACATGGATACCAAGAGCAACCAGCACTCTTGTAACTCAACGTTGTCTCCTAAAACCGTGAACAATTCACAGACATAAATAGAGGGAACAACAAAATAAATAAATAAATAATAAAAAAAAAAAACCTAATTACATGTACCTGGACGTAGCAGTCCACGTAGGAATTTTTCCGCGCTGTGAACCCCTTCGGAAGAATGTTCTTCCGGGAGATGCATGCACGTGGTGTGAGTCGACATCGTGGCCACATTCAGGACATGCGGGTGCCACGGTGGATCCTCCAACCCGTCCCCCGATGTGGCCAGGGGGGATGCACCGGGCAGAGCTGTGGCACCCGTGTTTAGGAATGAGGGGGAGTGCGTATTGGCTTGGTCGCCCGGCCCGTTCCCGTTCCCCATAGCTAAGTCCAAGGTGCATGCACCTCGCCCTGGTTTGGTTGATTGTGTCCCAGGGGGGATGGACCCGGGTGCCCCTCTTCTTGTACCATCCAAACAAAACTAATGGTTTATAATGAAAAGGCATCCCCTGATTCTTACATTAATAGGTTAACAACACACTTTTATATGCACAGGGGACTATTGCTGTTGAAATCCACAGCATTTAACCAAAAGAAAAAAGCTTGTATGTAAGTGCATTGTCCTCCCTATCATATACAAAACCATGATTTTACCATACTATTCAGAGATTTCTTGTTGATTGAATATTTTGTGATGTGGGGGGGGGGGTGTGTAATTGGTTACTTACCTGAAGCTTTTGACTATGTGATTATGAATGAAATATGATATTGAAGCTTAGGTTTAGTACTATTTTCTTTTGGATTATTGTATCATTTGTTTCATTACTTTTAACATTATAGGACATGTGAAATTTTATTTCATAGATTTTGAGGTTAACATTTTCAACAAAAATGTAATATATATATATATATATATATATATATATATTTGTTAACGTACTTAATTCAATTAATTATCAACTAATTATTATTTTTCAAAAAATTATAATAAAAATAAAATTTTGGGCAAGAATTTATTGTTGGTTTACTTTGAAAAAAAGAACATAATACTATGTCCTTTTTTTATAATTTCTTTAAACATATGAGAAAAATTACGATATTAAAAATATATCAATAACACAAGATATATATATATATATATATATATTTAATATAAATACTAGTATTTTTTCACATCAAAAACTTGTTAAAATACTATTTGACAACAACAATATTTGAACAACATTGTATTTATAAGCATAATAATATTAGAACTGTTTGAATTAAAAATATAATTTATAAGCATAACATGTTTGGATAACTTATAAAATGTTTTACATCAGATTTAAGTGAAATTTCAACATTTATAAAATTGCTTACTAAATTAATGAATAAGTTTTAATATATCATCCAAAATAATATCCTTGGAAAGTACAGAAGAATGTTTATTACTCTCAGTGTTGATTAGTTTTATTTTTAAAAAATGAAATATGAAAAATTAGATTATGATTTATTTACAGCTTAACATATGTATTATGATTTTATTAAAATTAAAATTAACATTACAAAACATGTATTTTGAGGTTTTGGATGTTTGGAAATTATTTTAAAAATTGCAATATTTTGTATAATTTTGATTACCTTATTAATTTCCTTTGAATTTTTTTTGTATTACTTATCTTGTTAAACGGTGGTGCATCCAAAAATGAATAGTGGTGCATACTTAAATACCACAATAATAAAGGGAATAATTTAATAACGCATGGTTATACTTGCAACTTTGGTTTATTTGAGAACAATTTTTTCTTTCATGACTATTAATAAGAATTCTAGTAAGACACGATTTGAATCTATATTTAAAAGTAAAGTTTTTATTAAAATTAAAATATCTAATCAATCTTATTTTTAAATAATATTTTACATGATATTTTCGAAATTAAAATAACTAATCATTAAAATCATAATGTGTTTTTTGGAGAACTTAACATGATAATTCAAAATACAACTATTGAAAGTATGATGAAAGAGGAATCATGCACTGATGTTTACTAACTAACCCAATAATTTTGGAAATTTAATAAAACAACAATGCTAAACTAATAATCAAGTAAGTGTGCAAACTCCAACATCCAACATCCATCCAACGTACATCCAACGTACATTCAAAGTCATTTAATTACAAAAAACCCAAATACATTTAAAGTATTGAGAGAATGCATAAAAGTAGAATTGAAAAGATACCCAATTATTCACAATGAGAAAGAACGCTAGAGTATATTCTTACTTTTAAAATGAGTCTGACTTATAAACAGCATCTCTAATGCAGTCCTCAAATTCTAATGTGAAACCAGATTTGTTTAACTTAGAGTAACTAAGGTTCCAGACAACGTTCATACTACGGAAAGCATTTGTCTAGGGTTCCACTAAGAAAGTGAAAAGGCGTATAAAAAGTAGAAAGTACTAGGGGAATGTAAGAAGGAATTGGCCCTTGTCGAAGGATGGGATAAACGATGGGAACGCATGGGGAACGCAGCCATGGGAGTGCGGAGGGAAGATAGGGAACATTCATGCATTTGGCCGGGATTCTGGACCCTGCTTTTGAAAGCGAAAAGCGTTATGAAGCTCGCACCATGCTCCGTGAGTCCACGCAGCCAGCGTCGTCGGTGCAACTTCAAATAACCCGAGTTCGGTACTCTCCATCGTCCCATTGTAGTTGCATGATCTCTTCAGTCTCTCCTTTTGTCTGCTAATTATCACAACTGAGCTTGAAACCTGAATGTAAACGATTTCTGATAGAGTTTCTTGAGAGCTCTTTTTAATTTCTTCTTTAATCTTTTCTTTGATTCAGTTTGCGTGAGTGAGGGCTTGTTGTGTGCTGGTCTATTTGTAGAGATTTCTCGAATAACCAGCGAAGAGGAGATAGTGTTTTGAAGCAATTACGGTAGGTAGGGTTTGTTTTAGAGGGTCTTGAGTTTTGGTCGTTTTCGGAGTTTTAGTGAAGATCTGTTCTTAATTCTCTTTCCATAGTTTTGTTATTCATTGATAATTTGAGTATTTTTGTCATTATTTTGGTTATTTTTTTTTAATAAAAAATTTCTTTCCCTAGAGGTTCGTTTTCCTTGCTGCATTGCTTCCTCACTTGACCTCCAGGATATGTCCAGCAATTTAGTACAGTTGTTCCATAGTCAAACGTCTTTCATTATTTCGAAAAGACTGTGTAGCAGGAATACTGTAGTTGTGTTCTCTTGTTAGGACTGTCGCGCTCTTCAACGAATATGGATGATGTGGAGATGAAGCCAAGTTTATCTTTGGGGTTTGTTCAAATGATGCAGCAATCTGTGCAACAGCAGATGAGTGCTGGAGGCCAAGTTCACAGCACTCTGCCAGCTCTGTCGAGGGGAAGTTCTTTGAGTGATGCTATTCAGGTTTGAACCTGATACTTAGAATCAGACTCATCGTTTAATGCGTCATTGCCTTACATGATTGTCAACAGGGAGGGATGGTTATGCAAGAGGGTGCAAGAGGTGGCAGATCATCTCTTGAAGCATCTTGCATGACCGTCTCTTCCTGCAGGTAGAGTTATGTAAAGAATTAAACAAAACTAACTTGGTGCATGATTATGGTATAAGGTTAAGTTGTAGTCTGGAATGAAATGATAGTACAACGCTTGAAATATGATTACAGTCTTCTTGAAATGCTTTACTTCATATCTTCATGTGCAAGGACATGGCCTTGTTCATGTGTCATTTTGAGTTGTGTCCAGTCTTATTCGAAGAAATGAGGAGTACTGAGTTGGCAGAAGAATTAAGTCCATAGTATGTGGAAATAATCGCGGACCTTCACACCAAGTCGCCTGAAGCACGTTGTTTGATTGTCCTTTGCTATCAATTCTTTCCCTCGGACAAGCCTACAGCGGGTCCGAGAGTCGATTACAGGGATTTGGTAAAAACATAGAAACACATTGTAAGCGTCCATTGTGGTAAATCATGTCATTGCAATGTTCTTCCGTCTTTTCAGAGATTATGATGCGTTTAAGAGTTCTGCTAAATGTGAATGACGTGTGGTTTAGGTTTTGAATTCACTTTCTCCTTCAAGGATTGTGAAATACATGTTGCAAAAAGCGCTCAGGTTTGGATAGAGCATGCTCTGATTGTTTGGGTGAATGATACATGTGCAGGTAGAGACGGCCATGCAAATCACCTCCAGGGACAGTGCACAACTTCTCCGGCACAAGACTGGTGCGTCAGGTGGGTTCTCTCCTCTTGGGAGCACTCAAGGACTGAAAAGGAAGAGCTCTGCTTTACTCAGTGGTCAATTTCGGACTCCGACACTTCCTGCAAGTATGGCTGGGCGAAATAATTCTGCATCTTGTGGACAGCAATCTCAACTTACGTACCATCATTCGTCTCGCGGATCGCAACCAGTTGTTCATCAAATGTCTCATGGTGCTTTCCGGGCTGTTGTTTCATCGGATCACCATCAGAACGGGATTTCCAAGCCAGTTTTGAACTATCCGTCTAACATGTCTCCAAGAGTGGTAGTTAACCACAACAGTTATCAGACTCATGATAATGAATCTCGGAAACGAGCAGTGAGGGATTGGGGAAATAGACCACTTGCTGAGGTTGATCCAGATCTGTGGAAGATTATGGAGAAGGAGAAGAGTCGGCAATGGAAAGGTATAGAGCTGGTTGCATCTGAAAATTTTACTTCACTGGCTGTGTTTGAAGCTCTCGGAAGTCACCTCACAAACAAGTATTCGGAGGGACTCCCTGGTTCCAGGTACTACAAGGGTAATGAATACATTGATCAGATTGAGTCCCTTTGCATTTCTAGGGCGCTTGCAGCTTTTCATCTGGACAATGAGAGATGGGGGGTAAATGTCCAGCCATATTCATGCTCTTCTGCCAATTTTGCTGTTTACACTGCATTGTTGCAGCCAAATGATCGAATTATGGGTTTGGATGTCCTATCCGGGGGCCATGTTAGTCATGGTTATCACACACAGAGCGGCAAGAAAATCCCTGCTGCCTCTATATATTTCCAGACTTTGCCATTCAAGGTTCACCCCGAAACAGGACTTATTGACTATGATAAAGTGGAGGAAATTGCGCTACTATATCGTCCCAAAATCCTTATATGTGGAGGAAGCTCATATCCTAGGGAGTGGAATTACTCCCGATTTCGCCAGGTTGCCGACAAGATCGGTGCCGTTCTTATGTGTGATATGGCTCACATCAGCGGTCTCGTTGCAGCGCAAGAGTGTTTAAGCCCGTTTGACTACTGTGACGTGGTCACTACTACAACGCACAAGTCACTTCGTGGACCTCGCGGTGGCATGATATTTTTTCGGAAGGGATTGAAGTCAGCCAGCAGGCCAGCCGATGGGCAGTATAATTTTGAGAAGGAAATCAACATTGCAGTGCACCCTACGTTACAAGGTGGCCCGCACAACAATCACATAGCAGCCTTAGCTGCAGCTCTTAAGCAAGCTGCGTCTGCAGAATACAAGGCGTATATTCAACAAGTGATTAAGAATGCTCAGTCACTTGCTGAAGGGTTAAAGCGTCGAGGGTGTAAGCTGGTAACAGACGGGACAGACAATCATCTGATGCTATGGGACCTTCGTCCATTTGCCATCCCGAGCAGTCTGTTCGAAGAAGTTTGTGAAGCGTGTCACATAACGGTGAACAAGAGTGCCGTTTATGGTGACAGCAGCTCATTTCAGCCTGGTGGTGTACGGATTGGAACTCCAGCAATGACATCACGAGGATGTAACGAAGGGGATTTCGATATTATCGCAGATTTGCTTCATCGGGCTGTCCAAATCACAACAGCTCTGCACAAGGAGAATCCGAAGCAGCAGCGCAACCTGGGAAGCAATTCTGACGTGCAGGCTCTGAGGGCCAAGGTTGAGGAGTTCGCTACCGCATTTGAAATGCCTGGATTTGATGTACCCTGTTGAAGTACGACAGAGTTTGTAGCTTATAAGGTTATTCAATGTTAGAGATTACACAGATGAAGATCTATGTTATAACCGGCACATCCCATATCCATATTGCTTTTTAAAGGCTTATGGGTGAATATCTGCAGCTTAGCATCATCAGGTGAGTGAGATTTTTTTCCTTCCTTTTGTCGCTACTGGTTCGGTAGATTTAAACATCGCAGAAGCACATGTTGTAAACAAATATGCTAGAACCTTGACACCTGTATTTATGAAGTTTATCCAAAGCATAGAAGAGATTGCGCAAGTTGATACCATTCATGAAATTCTATCATCTGCATCCTTATGTTGAAGTATGGTGTGGATTTGTCGGAAATTAGGATGTGGTAAACACTGTTGTTAAACACTGGATACTCATAGTTTGTGGCATGTGCAGTTTCAGGTGAGAATGAGTCGCCCCAGTGAAAGCACGACCTTCGCGTTGTTGTAGCTCCAGTGAAAGTTGAACTTACTTCATAGAGATTACCAAATGCAGAACTTTTCAAAAAGAAACGAATGACAAACAGGTGGACGATATGTACATAGCAGGATCAATATTCAAATGAACCATGTACCATTCGCTGTTAATCGGTGAATTTATACTCCAATGTTTAATGAGACTAGCATGTGATGATTTTACATGACAAACATGTAATAGATGCAGGCAAAGTTCCTTCAATACAAATAATTTTTAAGTCATACTGGGTACCTTCTTCACTGTGAATCCCATTCACAACACTCGTGCTTCCATGGAGCGTGCAGTAAATTTAAAATTCCGATTAAGCTTAAGCACATTGACAGTTTAAGATCGATGAATATTGGACTGAAATGTGAGTTATCATCTCATGTAAAAGAATTGTACCTAAGCGTGCATCATCTTTGGAAATGCTTACTCATAGTTCATCCATCATGTATCACGTCGGTGTTTTTGATGTTGTCGATCTGCGTGCAGTATTGTTTGGTTTAATATAAGCCCATGTTTTCTGTAGGTACGGCATTTTCTCTGCAGATTTTCGTTTTCCCCGGGATGGAGTGAGGGTCAAGGTGTGCAAGAATCATAATCCTCGGATTATTGTTGGGAAAATGGTCGGACAGGCTATAGCCGGTTCACGATCCGAGGGATAAGTCGTTCTCCCATGCGAAGATGGAGAAATGAACTGTCGAAGACGCTGCAATTGCTGTGTTGGACAGTGGCTGGTCAGTCACCAATTTCGTCCTTGTGAGCGTTTTAGAATAGTTTTTTACCAATTATTTTTTAATTTAAAACTAAAATTGAAACTGTTGGATGCTTAAGCGTCATGTGCGACTTTTCTCCAAACCAAGTAAAAAGTGATCGATAAACACCCAGGTACTAATCCCATCGAAAGTTTCTCAAACTGGAAGTTGCAGATACACACTCGAATCGAATCCATGGAACAAATCCATGTAGGCTGTTGCTATCTCACTTCCTCTCCTCAACCAGTCCGAACGGAAAAGCATCCACTGAATAGATGTTTTGTGGAACCTCACGATACAACTGGTCCCCCTGTCAAGTCTTCTTTACAACACATTTCTTGTGACAGTGGGTGGATTGCCTTTCTCTGTCAAGTTTTGAGTCAGCGTCGCTGACAAAACAGCCGGTGTCGTTTTCTGGTGTCACGGCCAAGGTGTGTCGCTGGAGCGCTGAGTCTGACTGAGATATGCTTCACATCCCTGAGTGAGTCGCGGGACTGATCACTTGGGTAGTGATCTATGGTTCCCAGTTCTTTGCCGGGGTCGTTTGTGAGAAGACGGTTGTGGGTACAGTCCAGCGAGAAAGATCATCTGCAGGGGGTTTACTCATTCTTTCGTCCCTGGTGATAACGCAGGGCGGATGCTAGAATTCTCAAGACTTGAAGGTTTGTAAGGTGCTTATCTCACTTAACTATTCTGTAGCTAGTGAATATCAAGCAAGATACACCTCCGTAAACCTCCAATATATTTCAGTTTCAGTTATCGACATCGATTAGAGTATCTCATTTGCTGTCAGTTAATCCATGACAATTGACGCTTCATCAAGGTTCAGTCCACTTCACTAGCAATCGATTTGAAGCTTCGTTCGCATCAGATTCGACTGCAGTAAATTAGGTACGATTGCCTTCGAAGTTTTGTTTTTTTATTTCTCATTTTTTATCAACAGACGTCTTAACTGCTTATACAGTAGAAACTGTTCAATTTCATACTGTGTAAATGCATCACCTCTCTGAATGCATGAGAATCCGCCGGGCCGATGTCGGGCCTGTAGTTAATAGTTAATGCATAACCTGTGTTGTTAATGCATTACCTGATTAAATGCAGAACCGCCTCCGTGTCCCAGCTCTATGCAATTAGACAGGTTCTACTGTAGAATAGGTCTCATGTATCTGTCACCCATAGACGAGGATTCCACGTCGTACACTTGAAACTCGTAGTGCCAGAGATGCATTAGTGCAATTTGTAATGTGTGAGCAGACAAGTCTTATTCCGCAAACGTCTCCAAAATTAAGTTCCGTAAGATTCGCCGAAACGACTGATCAGATTGGTATATCTTCGATATCTGTTTACCTGCTGCTACCATGTTAGAAAATGAAAATGTCAGCATGACACGTTGTACTTATTTATTTGTTGGATATTTTAATTTTGATTGGTTGGTAGTGAAATGTTGAATTAATTCACTGCTTCAAACGAAGACGTCATTCCCTAAAACATAAAAATCATATCAAATGCATTGATGGTATTGGAAATGATATGTTACGCATTTTTTAAGTTCCATTTTTTGAAGATTCATTGATTTTTTTTGCAGTGTGTAAAACTTGATAACAAATCTAAAAATCATGTATTATTCTAAATGATGAATTTATTCAATATAATATTTTTCTAAGTAATTTATTGATTAAAAAAAACAAGTTATAGTTTAAATAAAATTATTTATGAAAACTTACTTTGCTGTTGATGCAGAAGATGGGATTGGTGTAAGAGATGGTAGGCATGGCAAAGAAGAAGGCTAGAGTTGTGTTTAAATGGTGCATAATGATAACCTATAGTGTGTGGTGGTAGGCAGTAATGCAACATGATAACTAACTCTTAGAGTTTGCACCAACCACATGGATTCAACATTAACTTAAGACTTTTTCTTATCGTTAAAACATGTATATAATTGTTTTTATTTGTATAAAGTAAAGATGCTAGATACCACTGGTATGAAGCACATCATTAAATTTTCAACTGACTAAGTTTATTTTCTCAATTTCTTCTCTTTGCAACTTAAAACACTCACTTGCTAAGATTTGGTAACATGTTATAAAAACATCAAATCCACATAAATCCAAAATACATACTAAGATTTTTACAACAATAATAAAAACTTATATATATATATATATATATATATATATATATATAACAGAAAAATAATTTTATAATATTTAATCAATGTATTTTGGATCATGTATATATATAATAGATAAATTGATCAAAAAAGTATTTGTAAAATTTATTGATGATTTATAATACTCTTTGTAGCTTTATAAATTGTAAGTTTTGAATTATACAAAAGTATATTTACATGTGAAAGAATTGAAGTCTAAATGTTACAAGTTAAAAATATTAATATTCAGATATAGTTTCAAAATAGTATACTAATTTTTAATATTGATTTGAAAAATTGTTAAATATATCGAAAATATAAAAACTTTATAATTACTTTTCTTTTAATTTAAAAATTAAAATAGATTTATATGTAGTAGTTACAAAAATTATAACTAAGATAATTAAAATTTTATTAAAATAATTTAGTTGTTAAAAGATAACTTCTATAATCAAATCTTTAAATTCATATAAATAAATAAATAAATAAATATATATATATATATATATATATATATTCCATGAGTCAAATTAAAACTACACATTAACAATTGTAATCTTTTTTATTGAATTTTTTATAAAAACTTTATAACATTACATCAGTTAAATTATATTTACTAAATCAACACCAATCTATAAATGTTGATGAAATTGTATTATTTTAAATCTAAAAAATATATACTATTTTTAATCTAACATACATATAAAAACTTTAAAAATCAAAGAAAAATTTATATGGTACAAAATTTATCTAATTAACCATTACAAACTATGATATTTTTACCTATTAAAATATATCAATGAATTTAAAGATAATATATGCATGTATATAATGTATTTATGTGTATAGAGAGAGAAGAAAATGACTCTAAGTTTTAAAAAATATAATTTATGTTCAAAGTATTTACATGCAATTACATCTCTTAAGACTTGTATTTATAATAATTCATCTTGGATATTCTATTACACAAGCTCATAGATTCTATCATTATTTGTTTGTGCATTGGCTACTTATAAATATCTTTATTTTCTTTACTAATTTATTTAACCTCAAAAGCTCTTTACAAGCTAAAATGGCTTTTGGTTGTTTCAATCATTCTACATGAAATATCAAACTGTGGTATTTTTATCATTTTTTTCTTTTTTGAGAGTAGAAAATCATATGAAGTTTAAGCTCCACTAATTTGTTTCAAGAAAGTAGGTTGTTGGAATTAGTTATGGTGTTTTTTAGATTTGAACCTCAATTTGGATAGTTTGGACAAGGGTGTGTGCTAATTACATGGTGGCTATAATCGCAAGGAGTTTTGGGGATTGCATGATAATAGTATTACAATACAGGGACTCCAATATTAGTCCAATGCAAAGATGCCTAGTGTATTTTAGAGCTAATGATCATATGTGACCTTCTAAAACCCATATCAATTCAGTTTTTAATGTATTTTTTTACATGTACTTGTATACACGTCTTCTTGCTCCAAGATTTTGCATGCATGTTTCAATTAAAGATTGTCTTGCTTTGTGGCCATCTTAGTTGACAACCATATCCTTTGTCAAAGATTAGATCACGCATTATCTTCGCACACAGTAGTTCTCATCTAACAATTGAATGGGAGATTTAGTTTCAATCGGTTACCTAGTTTTTCTTTTATCATCAGCAAGTGATTTGATCTCAAATACTTAGTGGAAGTTGTGTAACTAAAATTACTAAACAAATATGACTTTTGGCACCTAAAACTGGCAGTCACGTACCCTCACAACCAGCAGAAGAAGCAAAAGCATATAGTTCAATGTTCTCATTGCCTGGTCTCTTCTTTCCCACAAGCACTGCTGTCGTCATATCCAAGAGAACATATGTATCCAAACAACTCCGGTACTTGAATTCTAAGGTTGTAAATCAAGCAGCCGTTCAGGGGAAGGCTGTGAGGATGCTGATTTAAGCTCTGGCTCAAGTGCTGTCTAGGCCAGATTACCCATGAACAGCACTGTTTACGCTGGCCTCGTCACCTCAACTAGGCTATACATGCCTCGAACTACGTCATAACCACAGAAAAAACAGAGGATTGGTAGAATAACAGGCCATCATTGACTTTCCTGAAACAATCGCCACTTACTTGTGACACCAGGTGATGGTCCTAAAGTGCAGAGCATTGCAGAGGCGGTATCAGCCACGCGATATCAGCCAAAGCATACTTAGCAGGCAGGATTCTCTAGGATACGTTGAAGAGCTTTGAAGAACACGAGCCGGCATAATGCTTCTGCTTTCTGTACTTACAAGGTAACAACAATGATGCTACATATCAATATTGATCTTGAGAGACTATTAGAGTGTCTTCATCTCCCTATACAGCTCCCCGCTCCTCTCTACTCTCCAACTAAAAGGCTCAAATAGGCTCCGCGTGCTCTGAACTCGTGCCCGGGCGGTACTGAATACATTAGAAATACAGCTCCATCCCCACAGTGCAGACACCAGGTTAGGTCTACTGTACAGGGGAAGCATCGCCAATGGTCGTGAAAGAATCATGCACTTTCCTGAGCATGACGTTGTCCCGAGCCCAGTCGGATACGGGTGCTTTCACGAATTGCGTGTACAGCTTGTTCTTTGCACAGGTGACCTTGATCAGTTCATGAGCGACGGGGCTGTCAATCTCAAACACGTAGTAGAGCTGTCCATTCTGAACTAGGTCATCGGATTTGACCTCCTCTGCTGATCCGAGAATATCCTGCAAGTTCACATCCGACAAAGCCAGGTTGTTGAGCACGTTGTCTCGAGGTCCCAACTTCCTGAATCCAGAGAGATAGGTCAGGTACACCTTCTCGTCTTTTCTCCTGGGGTTGTAGAACTCTGCGTCCGTTCCATTTGTGCCTTTCTCTACTTTCGAAATCTGGCGCTCCTTCCAGCCCTGGAAAATAAAATAAAAATCATCACCACGCCGATCTCATCAGGCTCCTCGTTGTCAATGATCTTGAATGAAATCCCAATGAGAACTCACTGTATTGCGCTCATAGAATCAGAGCATGACGCTTAAGCCCCGAAGGCTGTGATTGTGAGGGTATGTACACTTTTGCCTCATAAAATCTGGGAATGTACATGAAATCTCATTGTAGTTTTTACCACCAGAGAGCCACAGGTTAACTAAATACATTGGAGTAGACAGATGCAGACTTATAGTCATGGTTCTCGAATTTGCACTTAAAAGACCAGGCTGCGTCCGATGCAGGACCAAGCCGAAAAGAGGGTAAACCATTTTGACGTATTGGGCAACTTTCTAATCCGATATCGCTGCCGACGTTAGTATTTGGAATACCTTGACATGCAGCCACAGGAACGCAATGCTGTGGAAACACATTGTCTGACCAACTGGTAAGGTTTCCAGTCTGTTTGTCCATGCCTTGCGATACATGGGTATCTTCAAGGTCGCTTAAGAGACTTGGATGCATAAGATCAAACTCTTCTCCTCTTACCATGCCCAAAACGAAAAGACTATTTTAAACAGGTATAATCTAGGTTCGGTTGTTTTCGGAACTGCTAATACTCCCAGCCCAGTTGACAGTCGACTATACATACAACGATATCACTTCAAAACCGGTTCGTGCTCTCTAGATACTACATCACACTTTGGCATTCTAGGACGTCAATCACAATCGTATATCGCTCGCATGAAGACCCATGTGTGACATCCGGCAATTGATAAACTGTCGGTGCTGCGAGTGATGATGCAAAATAAATACTTGGCCTCACTGCTTCCATCCATAATTCCAAACCTAATCGAAGACAACGAGGTGTTGATACAAAACTGCATCATTAAAGAAAAACTCGCTCTGACAACTTTGCTCGTCTCCAATGCGAAATCCAAACTCAGATACAGATCAGGACGGCAAGAGGGTTACCTGAGGGACATCGAAAATGTACTCGGCGCTATCCTTCTTGTTGGCATTGCCACCGTATCCACCGTAGCTGGAAGCACTAGCCGCAGTGCCATAGTACGTCTGGAACGGAGCGTCACCCTCGTCCGCCATAGCCAAACCGGTGGCTCCATTCGACAGCAGCACCATCGCTGCAGCACCAAGCGCGACGGCTCCACTCCTCACCCAATCCTTCGTCTTCTCCACTTCCTCCTCTCGCATCGATGCCACGCACACCAAATTCTTCCGCCCTTTGGCCGCAGCGAGTGAAGTGGCACTTTGGGGCACCGACGAGTGATGGACTCCAGCGACAAGGCTGGTGCCCATCACTCTCTTGCCAACGACGGAGGACATGCCGGTTGCCACAGCGAGCGCCATTGCCATTACCAAAAACTGCGATTCACCTCAAAACGCAAAATACAGGAAAATCCACCAGGATGTAGGATGAAGGGAGAGATGGGTGATGAGATTGCGAAGCAGGACGAGGACCCAAGTGAAAAAATCCGACGCGGGGTTGCGCGGGGGCGTGGAGATGCTGGCGGCCAATGGGCGACGAAGAGCGCAAGGGTGGAAAGGCTACGCTGCAGCCCCGAATGTGGATAAGCTGGGCCCCAACCCCAACGAATGAATGAATGAATGGGGAAACTTGAACCCCTTCCCCCCATTTGCCTTTCTCCAAGGAAATATTTCACACCCTATTATTGAGATAAATCTTGGTGATAGGCAGCCTAAATGGAGGGAGGGAAGGAGGGAGAATTGAAAGTGGCCACCTTTTTTAATAGAATTTATTGTACTATGGATTATTAAATTTTTGCATTCTAACAAGTAAGGTAAATTTAAATTTGAATAAGAATTGAGCTTTTTCTAACTATGATGTCTGTAGAATTGTTTATGTACATAGGGCATTGCTAATGTCACCATTTCTACCGTTTTTTAATATTAAAATAATAATATAATTAAAATAAATATATACATAACTTTATATATATATATATATATATATATATATTTCTTTTAGAAACAAGAATATATTCATATATACATACTAAGATGTCAATAAAAAATATTCTTATTAATTATTTTTTAAATTAAAATTAAATTATTTTTTTATATAATTTTATATATAGATATATATATATATATATATATATATGTGAGAATGTTAAAGAAATATAAACTATCCAAACCATTATTGTTCCTTTGTCCTTATTCCCACAATTCTTTCTATTCTCAACCTTTATCTCCCATATTAACTTCTATTCTACCATCCAATAGGTGAAATTGAAAGATGGACTTGAAGGTCTAGATAGTGGGAAGAAGGCAGCTAAGGGTTGAAGTTATAGAAGCAAAGTGTGTACAATTCAACCTTTGCCTCTAAGTACAATGAGTCACCTTTTTTTATAACTTGTATGAATAATTTATGTCTAGGACAAGAACTCGATGAAAACAAATAAACAAATGAGACTTTTTCAAAGAAATATAAAAAAATAGAACTAAAGATATATATATATATATATCTATATATATATATCTATATATATATACATATGTTAAAAAGAAAATAAAATAGCTATTGCCAAAAGACAAGAAAACTAGAGACTTCTTGAAATTAGATTAGAAGTAAGAAAAAAATTGATAAGAGTATATATATATGTACTATGTACTTAGAAGCTATGTGGCAACGTTCTATAGAATCTCTAAAATTTGTTGACTTTACACCATACATATCTTGACTTGCAAAACAAGTTTTCTAAATAGATGCTACATAATAAGCTTGTTTCACAAGCTACTAATATATGTCTCATATAATTAACTTGTTGACGAAGTTTCTATCTATCAATTAAATATAAATACATGTAAAGTCAAAGTAGCATCTATAAAGCTTCTAAGAAGCTTTTCTAGAAGATATTATAAAATTAATTTATTTTTATTTATTTCTCTCTATTCATATTACGTCAATAACAATTACAATAGATATATGTCTATGACATTATTCCTCCTAGGAATGAGTTTCAGAAGGAATGGTGATTACATCTTGAAGAAGTCTAAAATACGACAAATTATATTTGCTATGTACTTTGATTTTTGTTTCCTTTGAAGGTAGTTGATAGATCTTCTTAGCCATCAATAATGTCCCATTCTAGACAAAAAGACCACCTTTTTATTTGATCATTGTTGAGACCTTTGTAACTTCTTTCAAACAAAATATTTGTAACACCATTAAGAATCGTTTCTACCTCCAATATAATCACCAAACATTGAGACTTTCCTCTCAGGTTGTGATACCAAACGCATTCTATCTCACCATCTATTTGAAGAAGAACATGTCACTCTTGAAGGTCTTCATTCTTATTACTTTATCTTGAAGGTTGCGATAATTGTAATATCTTGTTTAATAAATCAACAAATGATGGCTCTAGGGTTGAATTTGTTGGTTGTTATTTTCCATCTCTTTAAAGCTACAATTATATAGAAACTACAAATAAAGATAGAAGCTAGAATGCAATCTTTCTTACATTATGTTTCTTTTATAGCAAAGGTTTGCTATCCTTCATCTTGGTTTTGATGGATGTCATTAATTGAAAACTTTGACCTTCTTTATTATATTTGAAAGATTTTTTGCTCACTCCAATATATATTTGCTGATATTGTATCTGTTGTTGTATTACATGAAGTCTTGCTTGAGAATACATTGGACACGTGCTTATGGAAGGTAGAATAGAAATTATAACAATAAAATCTTAATTCTAATATAATATTAAATAAACTCTAATTAAATTTTAATAATGCTAAATAAGTTTTAATCAAATTCAAAGAAACCTTAAAGAAATTACAAAAGAAATAATTAAAAATCTTAAAATAATTCAAAAGAAATCCACAATAAAATTTAAAAGAATTTCTAAAAAATCCTAAAAAAATTTAGAATAATCATAAATATATCTTAAAATAAATCTCAATCAAGTCCTAATTTAATCTTAATTAAAATTCTAATGGACTTCAATCAAATCCTAGGCCAAACCAAAAATCCTAAATCTTAAACAAATCCTAAATCCTAAATCCTAAATCCTAAGAAAATCCTAAATCCTAAATTTTAAACAAATCCTTAACCAAATCCTAAACTCTAGTCCAACCCTAAATCCTAATCAAAACTTAAATAAATTCTAAGTAAATCCAAAATCTTACTTCAATCCTAAATCTTAATCTTAACTAAATTCTAAGCAAATCCTAAATCCTAGTCCAATCCTAAATCCTAATCAAACCTTAATCAAATCCTAAACTCTAGTCTAATTTTAAATCCTAAAAAAATCTTAACCAAATCCTAAGAAAATTCTAAACTCTAATTCAATCTTAAATCCTAATCTAATTCTAATTCTAAACCAACTCTTAATCAAAATCTTATCAATTCAACCTAATCCTAATATAATATAGAATCTCAATATCTATCAATTAAACCATTGATCTTGCTTAGAATTTTATATACTTTTTAAAACTAAATTAGCAATAATCATACAAAATTTGAAGATAATCACACTTACCAAATCAAAGAAAAATCCTAAAATCTGCTCAAGTATTGGCTAGTTTCTTATTCTAATTTGATTATTGAATATTCAGTGATAATTTTTTTTTAAAATTATTTAATTATTTTCAAATTTTACATATGTTTAGTAAATCGAGTCTATTATCTTTATATACAAATTTCATTCCAATCTAATTAGTAGATTACTATAGATCTCAGAAATCCTAAGTGCCCCTCAAAGTTCAATTTTTGAGACCTCAATTTACTTGAAATTCAATAACCTTCAATTCAATTATTTGATCAAGCTCAAATTTATAACATACTCTTAAGAAAACTAATTGCATAAGTCCTCAAAATTTGAACTATAGATCTATTACCAAAACCACGAAATTTTCCAAAATGTAATACCCTTTTTATTTCACAAATTCTAGAATCACCAAAAAAAAACTATGACTTTGTAAAGCTCTTTCAAAGTCATTATATACTCAAATCACTCAAAATTAATTTTTTAAGAAACCTTATTAAGTTCGATTTCAAATTTTACTTTGTAATCTACTAAAAAATCCTAGAATTATTATAAGTACCCAATTTTTTATCTTGAGATATGATTTCAATCTAGGTTGATAACTGGTCTTCTTTGGATATGAAATTTTTCCCTTTTGAATTAATTTTTAATAAAATAAATTCCTAAATTCTTCCTATATATACTCATATTTTTTATTTTTTTAATCTATCTTTTTTTTTATTTATTTATTAATGGCTTTACAAAATAAATAGAAGACTATTTTGTCAAAAGGTAGCATTTATACCTTTAGTTTTACTTTCTTTTGGACTATTATCTATTTTCTAAGATAATTTGTAATAATATTTAAAGTAAGATCTTCTATCCTATAATTATTTCTTCATGCTTTTCACCTATTAGTCATAATACATCATGATATCCCACTAATGAATAAGATATTTCAACCTAAATCGACACCTTCTCAAGTCTAAGACTTTTTCTATCTTAAATTCTTTATTTTTATCTATTTTTATAAGATATTGTCGTATTTGTTTTCTTCCTAGAATATTCATTTTCTTGTGTGGCTTTAAAAGAGATATGTAAAATATAAGATTGATATTCATAGATTTGAATAGATGTAATCAATAAGTGATGGGATTAAACGATTTACAAATAAGAAATGGTTTAAGTCTATAATAATCCAACTTGTTACAAAGAGAAAGAGTTTTAATATTACAACAAAGTAACCATATCTTATTACCAATGTAAAAATGAAGTTGTTGCTTATAATAAGTATCTGCGTTGTTCTTTTGTTGTTCTTGTACCTCTTTTAGTTGCACCTTCATTGTAACATGTAGCTCAAATAAATAATTTGCTAAATCTTTTGGTATAGAATTATCAACTTTTGAAAAGTCAAAAGCATGAAATTATTAATAATAACCATAATTAATAAAAAAAAGTATTTGTTTTATAAAAAAATATATCATATTATTATAAATAAATTATATTAATGGCAAAAGAATTGTCTAATCATCTTATTGGTAGTTGATGGTATACTTCAAATACTGCTCTAAAATTTGATTTACATGCTCTATTTGTCTATTAGTTTAAAGATAAAAAGTCAAAGATAGTTTTATGTCTACTTTTAAAATCTTGAAAATCATTTTTTAAAATCTTAATACAAATTGAGTTCTATTATTTGATATTATATCCTTAGGTAATCCATGATAATAATAGATGTTATAAAAAAAAAGCTTAGTTATTTCTTTACTTATGATAGATTTTGTACATGATACAAAATATGATCAAAACTTATGATAGATTTTTTATTTTTTTTTTATTTTTTATTTATTTTTTATTTTTTATGTATGCCACATAGTTTGTTTAATTTCTAAGCAAGTTTTTTTTTTATGTGCGCCACATAGTTTGCTTGTTTTACAAGCTATCAACACATGGTTAATTTATTGACCAAGTTTCTAATCTATCAATCAACTATAAACACATGTAAAGTCAAAACAACGTCT